GCCGACAGCGAGGAGCGAGAAAGACGGAAAATAAAAATAAAGGTGGAAAAAAAAAAAGAAAACGAAAAAAGAGGGAAATTCACTTTTTGAAGCTCCAGTGATGAGAGCCCCGTCCCTCGCCGCCCGCGAGAAGTCCCCGCGACGGCAGCGCTGCGGGGCCGGGGTGCGCGGCCAGGGCACGACGGGAGCCCCCCGCGCGCGGAGCCCGCTCCGATTTTTCCTTTTCTTTTCCTTTATTTTGTTTGCCCGCCCGCGAGCAGAGGGAAGGGCGGCGGTGGCCGCTGCCGCCGGCTGCAGGGCTCCCGGTCCCTAACGGGGTCGCGGGTGTCGAGGGGCGCTCAGCAAGTGTGTCCGGCTCGCAGGTCCGCGAGGCTCTGCTGCGGGGCCGCCTTAGCCGCAGGTTTAGTCACTACGAGGAAATAAAGAAAAGGAATCTGGAGCTGGGGGGCTAGGGTGCGGAACGAGCGGTGCTGCCCTACCGAGACCCGCCGGAAAGATACTTCGCAGCCGGGTGTTTTTCAGGAGCGCTCGTGCCGCGCTGTGACCTACATAGCCCCGGCGAGCGGAGGGAGCCCCGCGCCCCGTCGGGGCCGCGCCGGGCGGGCGGGGGAGCCGGGCCGCCCCCTCGGAGCTCGCCCCGCGCCGGCTCCGCGCCCCCCCCGGCTCCGCTCCTCTCGCATCCTCCAGTGTCCCCCCGACCTACAGACTCCTCCTTCTCCATCTGCTCCTCGTTTGGCCTCCCCGCGTTTTCCTTCAAGCTTTTCCCTTTCTTTTTCCTTTTTTTTTTTTCCTCTATTTTTTCTCTCTTTTTTTTTTTATTTTTTTTAAATTCTTTTTCTCTTGCATTTTCTATTTTCTTTTCTATTTGCTATTTTCTTTTCCCTTTTCCTCCCCGTCCTTGTCCGCCCCCCGCGGCTCTCCGCCCTCCAGGAGCCGCGGCTGCCGGGGGCGACCGGCTCCGGCCCGGGCGCAGGCGGGATGAGGAGGAGGAGGAAGAGGAAGAAGAGGAGGGCGGCCGCCGGGGAAGCGCTGCAGCAGCTCCTGTCCGGAGCGCGCGATCCGCCGCCGAGGAAGTCTCCCGGGTTTGCGACGCTACCTTAATTAAGATAATTGATTCGCATCGCACCTGCGAGAGCGGGGCGAGGGGGGCGGCCGCCCCCGACGGCCGCGGGCGAGCGGGGAGAGGAGCCGCGCTCGCCACTTAGTGAGTGATTTACGGCCGTGCCGGGGGTCCCTGCGCGGGGCTGGGGGCAAACGCGGCTCCCCCGCCCCGGGCAAAGCCCCCAAACCGCGAGAGCCCCGCGGGGTCCGCCCGGGCGGGACCGCCCGTCGGGTCCGGTCCGGTCCCGGTGCCGCTCGGCTTTAAGGTGAGCTCTTTCGCTCCGGCTTTTTTTTCTCTCCCCCTGTAGGACTCAGAATATTAATTTTATTGCGCTTCCCCCCTGTTAGATAAACGCAGTTGTTTTAATTCTATAAATGTAAACTTCTATTTAGTTAATGGAAAACGCATCACCACCGAGGTTTAATTATCGGCTCGCTAAATTACTCTTTTAGTCAAGTACACACAATTATGAAATCACAATAGATTTAAAATATCGTTCAGATTGATTAAAAAAACAAATCACAGAAGTATGCACCATTAAAACAAAAGTCTAAATTGTATTGGTGGGCGAGCTACTGCCTCGGCTAGAGTTTAAATAACATCAGCAGCCTCTGTTATTGGTGCCGAACCACCTCTGTTATTAGGAAAAAGGATTCTTATCAGACGGGATTTAGATGCTGTTGTAACTGGAAAATCTAATTATTTTTGATCCAGGCATTTACCCCCAGAGTCCCACCTTGTTTAAATAAAGTGTTTTCTTTCCTCTTTAACAAATGCATTTCCATCTGAATTAAATATTGATAATTTGACCTTTTAGTTCTTTAACTAATCAAAAGGGGGGGAAAAAAGCGCCCACCGAATGTAGCTCCTAGTGCCTTGCCCTGGTGGGTCTCTCCGCTTGAATAGACACTGAGATTAAATGAGTCAAACTTCCTCTTTCATTGCACTCTCTTTGCACTAATTGCTTATGCAAAAATGCAGATTTGTATTAATTAGTAACTCCACTGATTAGTTCGGTGGTATTTTCACGTAATAAATCATGCCGCAGACACGGTTTTTGGCACATCCCCAGTAGTGGCTCAGGCTGCAATAAGTTTTCCATATTAAATAAAATCTTAGACTAAATCTACCTTTTCGTCGCAGGTACACTGTGTACCACCTGCCGTATGCACCTGCTACGGGAAATTACCTTCTGTCCCTGGCAAGCCTCTTTCCTTCCCTTAATAATGCACTATTCTTCACAGGGTGTAGGCTTTAAAGTGTGAGGCATGAATCACAGAATCCAAGAATTGGAGAAAACCTGGTGTCATTTTAACCCTCGCACGTGAATCCTGCTCACTGTTTAAGGTTATGAAACTTATTTAAGATATATCTGATGGAGATTTTTTTTCCCTTTCCTTCCTGTGCCCATCTATGTCAATTCCTTTTAGAGCATCACTTGCTCTGTTGCTCAAAAAGTACCAAAAAAACCCCTTTTCCTTTTCTCTTTCTTTCTCATCCTGTGAGGATGCAGTGACTGGACTCTTGCAAGCACAACACTAGTTAATTCTTTTCTGTATTTCAGTCAGATCTGGAGGCCTCGATGGAAACAAGACCCCATGGTATCAATGATGGTATCAATCACAGAGTCAATCTCCATGTTACTGAAAAAGCCCTTCTTCCCCCCCTGTTTACATCATGAACCACTGTAAGTCTCTCTCTGCGATACACACAGGCTGACATCCTGTCTTTCAAAAGTCATCAAGTCATCCCAGATAATCCCTTTCTATCTGTTTCACGAGGGCTGAGCTGTCCATACAACACAGGTATACGGTGTTCCCTGTACATAACCAAGGCCACCATTTCCTCAAGTGAGTCTGCATAAGACAACACATATCCCAAGACATAATATCTACCAGAACAGTACTTTGGAAAAGAGTTTCCAGTGGAATAGTTACATATATACATCCTGACTTTGATGTCTTTTCCTCATTTTTGGGAGCAAATACTGAAGAATCTTTGCCTTGCTCCTGCCGAGGTAGGACCCGCTGTCATGAGCCAGGCTGTGGAGCTGGCCTTTGGCCTCGTGTCTAAGGATGCAATGGGGTGGAAGGGAGCAAACACAGGTGCCAGCAGATTATCCAGAGCTTTGCTGAGATTAAAATCTTGTCTCAATATGAGTTATTGCATATTCTCGAAATAGAAATCTCCTTAGTGGTAGCTTTAAAAGGTCTGCTTGTGTTTCCCTCTCTGGGAAAGTAATGGCTGAACCACAGGCTAAATACATAATAGCTTGTAGGCTCTTTCCCTATAGGCATGTTACGTGAACATTTTTTAAATTCTTAGCAAAATACTGTTTCTCATAGTGTTATCTTCTTAGAGAGATAAAGCAAAAGTCAAAATACGCATACAAATAAAAAAAATCCCAATTAATTTAGAAAGATGGTTGCTTGAGAACAAACCAAGGGAGGTTAAATCAGAGATCAAAGAGAATGGAAAACGAGATTCAAATGATCATTAAATCTCACTGTACAACACAGCTTTGTTTTTAGCTCTCTGACAATCCCACAGTGAGCTGAGCATGATGGAGAGTCATTTTCCTGTCACCGTATAGCACGACTCCTATGCTTTTGGAACAAAACTCATAAAATTAAACTCTTGCTCCTCAGTGTGTCTGAGGATATTGCTCATTATAGAGAGTACCGTGATTTGGTTGGAAGTCTTCAACTATTGCTGTCATCACCTTCCACCTTACCAGTCAATAGCATTTCACAGCAGAGTAGGAAGCTTTCATGAATGTTTTGTTTTATGTCTTGCTTTCTAGAGATGCTTCYGTGTGCAGCCATACACGAAGGAAAATGCTTTCAAGCAGCTACAAAAAGTTAACCTCCCAACTGTGAATGCTTTCATCAGATCATTCAATACACGAGCTCTTTCTTTTTGTATCGAGGTGGCATCTCAACTTCTTATCCACAAAAGACAAGCATCAGATAACATCTCTTCTGACAGAGTTTACCAAAGACAAGAGTCCCGTGGCCTTGAAATAAATTTCTACTCAATCCATGGCATCTCCCGCGGGGTAGGGGAGGCCAATTGGCTTTGAGGTATAGGGCACATATGAGAGAGTACTGAGAACACTGCAGAAATTTGCATTACTGCCCCTGGAAAAACCTGCAAAGAAATACACACCCAAGTTGATGTTGTCCTAAGTGCAAACTCTCTAATGGAATAGCAGTTTGGAAATGGAGTAAGTACTTCCATGAGGTCATTTGGTAGCCTCTCTTCAACATCCTTCTCTCCCTCTCCTATTTCCATCATTAAGAGTTCATTACTCTATCTTTTCTTGAACTCTCCTCTTCCTGTTGCAGTTACAACTCATTTTCATACAATGCATTTCTATGTCATTCCTAGTATGTGCCATTCTTGTCTTTCATCGCTTTGTTTTAGTGAGCCACCTTTTACTCCAAAGACACATTGAAGAAAGTGGCATCATCTCGCCAGCTTTGTTT